GAGACAGGAGAAGGAAGTCTTCATTTGCCCAGAGTGTAGAAAGACATTACAGAAGAACTGGTGATGCCTGGGACTGGAATGTGGCCTTGGGAGGACACATGGGAAACCATAGCATGGTAGATTTTTTTTTTTTTTGAAGATGTAAGTGGGATTAAAGGCTGTGGGTAGGGTGGGGAAGAAACTAGCCTGGGTGTGTGCTAATCCCAGAGAGTCTGTGTGATGTATGAAGGAGACCTGAGCTAATTCTGAAGTCAGTAAGGACCCTGAAAACCTGTCAGTTCTTCACTGGCATTGGAAATGGAAGGGCCATGGTAAAGGGTCCTGCTGCATCTGGAGTTCGTGGAGATGATCGTTTCAAGATCCTAGACTGGAGTGTTAGAGGAAGAACAGCTGGCCCAGCCCCTAGAACCTCTGGATGTCTTGTTTGTCTGAGGCAAGGTCTCCCACGGTAGCACAGGCTGGCCTCAAACCCATTGCTGTCTCCTATCTCAGCCTCCTGAATGCTAGTATTATGGGCACCAACCCCCATGCTGGGTGTCTGGGTATCTTTTCTGCCTGGGTTTATGGGAGTGTTAATGGGAGGAAGGGGCCCCAGATAAGCATGTCTAGCAGGATGCAGAATAGAGAGAAATGAAGCTCAGACTTGGGATCCAGGAAATGGGCTGAAATACCTTTTGTGAGGTCCAGGCTCTCTGTCTCTGTCTCTCTGTCTCTGTCTCTCTCTGTCTGTCTCTGTCTCTGTCTCTCTCTCTGTCTCTGTGTGTATGTGTGTGTGTGTGTGTGTGTGTGTGTGTGTGTGTGTGCCACAAGCAAAACCATGCAGGAATAGTCTGGGGGCCACCCAGAGAAACAGGGTACCCAGAACTGCCAGTAGTGCTTCCCACTTCCGAAGTGGAAACTAGCCTAAGCTCCACAGAGCAGTTAGTGGTCTTTGCTGCAGAGATCCCAGCACGCAACAGGGCAACTTTAGGTCTCCACTGGCCTTGCAGAGACCCTTCTCGGGGCTCTGGGACCACATTTGACTGCTTGTTTGAGAGAAATCAGGACTCTGGGACAGACCCAGAGGACAACAACAAACCTGACTGCAGAGCGGGAGAATGGGGCTCAAGAGGCATGTTAAAGAAATTGGGTTTGATTTGCCTGATAGTAAGGGTGGGGTGGGAACTGAAGTCAGGCATGGAATAAGAGGCCTATCCAGTTTTTGTCTAGTTTCAAGAGCAGGGAATAAGAAGCAGCCATTCTAATTGGCCACCAGATAGATCAGGTAAGGAAGGACTTTCATCACAAGTATGAAGCTTGGCCTTCCCTGAAGTACCCCGGGGAGGAAACCTGCTGGAGACCAGACATGGAGACCCTGACTTATTCCCAAAATACTTTGAAGTTTTCCTTAGTCCCAATAAACTCCAGCCCCCCTGGCCTTCAAGGAGCCAATGCTACCTTTTGAGGAACATATGAACTCATATTCAGTGCTCAAGAACAAGGGAGATACCCTTGGAGGAGATGCAGTCAGAAGTCCTGGAAGCTAGAAACAAATACAGGCATGGATATTTGCATCAGGAAATGAGTGGTTTTTATTGTGATGTAACAGGTTACTTACATACCCCTGCTCCCACCAAAGAATTAGATGGTTCAAAACAAAGCTCATTATCTCACGGGCATCCTGTGTGTCAGGAATTTGAAGGCAGCTTAGCTGAGGCTCTACTTTGGGTCTTTTCCTAAGGTTGCAGTCAAATGCTATCCTGAGTCACTGCCGCCTAAAAGCGTGATAGAGACTGGACCAGCCATTTAGGGAATAACTCATTCATACCAACCACACTTAGATCCTGGCTCCTGACTGCAGTCTTCCTCCATGGTGCTGCTTGAGTATCTGCGAGATGGGTCTGTATTCCCTTAGGCTGAGTCAAGACAGACTTAGGATTCACACACTTCAGCGGAGCATGTCACCAAGGCCAAAGGGGCTGCTTGGCTCATCCTGAATAAAGGAATGAGTATCAAAACATTTGGATCATTCTTGTGAGCCCATCTCCTTTTGTGGATAGATATCCTGTTTGCCTTTCTACTGATTTTTTTTTTTTTTTTTTTTTTTTTTTTTTTTTTTTCAAGGCGGAGAGTGGGAGACTCAAGGCTTTCTCAGCAACTGACATCCATTCTACTAGGTGACTCTATGTGAGGATTTCCAACTGGCAGGTGACACAAAAATACAAATGGTGTGCCCTTTCCTTCTGAGCATCCATAAGTGCCCCTCCACCCTCTACCTCATTATTGAATCTGTATGGTAATGGACTTGGTGGTGGGAGGTGGAGTGGGGGGAGAGTTGCATCTGCCTGGAAGAGACTCCCTGGGGACAGGATTCTGTGTGTGTAAAGACATCTGAGACAAGAAGCATAGGAAAATGGATGGTGTTTGCTACAGGCTGAGAGGAGCAGGAATTTCAGTCTAAGAGATGGAATTAACAAGATTTCCAAGAATCTCAATCGGGGCCATTGTGTTTGTTTACTTTTGCAGCAAGCTTTGGGAACTGTGCTGGGAGAGAGAAAAGCTGTTTTGTGAGCTGTCTCGAGTTCCATCAATAGGTCAAGCTGCCCACACTGGAGAGGCTGCCTGTAAAATCTCAGCCGAGGAAAATTTGCCTCCGTGTTTCCTCTCCCGGTACTCAATGGGAATTGAGCTAACTGCAAGCTTGGGTAAGAACTAAGTGCCCCCTGTTCATTGTGAATGCCCAGGCTGTTAGACAAAAATAGCACACAGGAAACAGTATCGCAAAGGTCAATTCTTCTAGAAAGGAAGGGACAACACGCCATCTATCTGAAATTTTAATGAGCAGATCCTGGCCTCTGACCCCACACCATTACCTAACAATCCAGTATTGAATGCCATGTCGGCCTCCATTTCCTGTGAATGAGGAGGCAGAATTCCCATCCGAAGGCAGACCATCTGCCGGACGCCAGCTTCGCTCTCTGCCTAGCTGGCTGTGGTTGATGTACGTGTAGTTTTTATGGATGGAGTGGCAGCCAGGCCCACGCTTCACAGCCATGGTGAATCAAAAGGCTGAGGAGGCAGGACTTGTGGCTAGAATTTTCTGTTTCCTCTTCTAAGTGGCTGTTGGGTTTCATTCAGTCCAACACCAAAGACAGTCTTGGGGCACATTTGGCCTTTTGGAGACAGCTTTGCAACCTCTACACTTAAAAGAATAAGCTTATTATTATTCTTTCTTACAGTAAAGAGCAACCGCAGAGTACTAAACAGCGAAAAGAAATGGATATTGAGTGTACAAAGCCCCCAGCACACATGAATAAACCATTTCTGTGATCAGTGGTTTGGGCTAACAGCTGCTTCCATCCTAAACCCATTGTGTCAAAGGAAATAATTTCCAAGCCTTTTGCTTGGTGTTTCTGATCTTCTAGAGAACAGCAGTCTTGGAATTACATAAACCTGTCCTTCTGGATCTGTCTCAGCAGAACCCCAATGTAAAAGGCCAAGGGACAGATGTCTTTCCTAAGCACCCTGGGGAGCAGTTGGGTGGGAAGTCTTTGCATCAGATCCTCAGTGCTCAATACCTAAGAGGTGTGGCTTAGCCTAAACTAAGAGGGAAGGTTGGAACTCAGGGCCAAAGACATAGGTTGCACCTAAGACAGGTCGGAGGCTGGGTTCCTCACTGTGTGGCTGTGGGAAGGCCGCTTGGTGCTTCGGTGTTCTGTGGTTTCTTCATCTGGACATTAAAGTGATATGATGTAGGTGACACCCTCTATCAGATCATGTGAAGACCATATGTCATACATAATAATGCAGTAATCTAATTATCATTTAGGTTATCGTGCACACACTGCCCAATCATGATGGTTTACTGGATTATACTCTTAAGATTGAAAAGCCGGCTAGGCGTGGTGGTACACACCTTTAGCCCCAGCACTTGGAAGACGGAGGTAGCAGATCCTGGTGATCTATATAGTGTGGTCTATATAGTGAGTTCCAAGACAGCCATGGGGCTATAGAGAGAGACATTCTCAACAGAACAAAAAGACAGAAAAGCCTTTGGAGGTAAGAGGCATTTCACTATGGCTTGATTTCCTCAGTCCCTAATGTAACATTGTTCATTCTGATTAAGCGAGTGAACAAGGACATACATACAAGCCGCCTAGGAGCAAGGCTGATTTCAAATGGTCCCTGTTCCCAGGCTGTGTTTCCAACTTGAGTATGAAGCCTCTCACTCTTTAAGGTCCTGTGTGCTATAGTGAAGTGAGAGAATGCTGTGGACCACTGCTGGCCGGAGGCAGCTGGTGAGTAATGCTACTTTCCAGGGAGATGGTAAGGAATCCAGCCTTCTCCAACCCCCTTCCTCTCATACTGGGAACCTGTTCCAGAACAGGAGAGGTTGTAGGATCAGAACAGAATCTCTACGGCTGGCTTGAGTCTCAGCTACAGTATAATCTTGCTGGAGCTTTGAAAACGGCCAGGTTCTGAGTTCGCTGGCCTGGACAGTTCTAAGAGGTCTCCATGTTAGGAACCAGAGCGGCCATCGTTCTCCATACATCTTGCTGCTTCTGTTGCCTGGCCCCTGCTGCTTCTCACATAGTTCTCAGGAGGAAAACTGTGAGGCAGAAAGGGGAGGGGGAGGCACAGCTACAGCCCTGACTTGAGGTGAGACCCTCCAAGCCTTTGTTGGAACTTGCCTAGCTGTGCTGTGGAGCAAGAGCTCATTCTAAAGATGTAAGGGAATGCCTAGCAATTGGCATTTTTCTCTCCTAGCTGTGCTGTGGGGGAGCATCTCATTCTGAAGATGTAAAGGGATGCCTAGCAATTGGCATTTTTCTCTCCCCTGACCTTCTTCTTCTTCTTCTTCTTCTTCTTCTTCTTCTTCTTCTTCTTCTTCTTCTTCTTCTTCTTCTTCTTCTTCTTCTTTTCTTTCTCTTCTCTTCTCTTCTCTTCTCTTCTCTTCTCTTCTCTTCTCTTCTCTTCTCTTCTCTTCTCTTCTCTTCTCTTCTCTTCTCTTCTCTTCTCTT